ACCACTCAGTGTATAATACTTTTTATAATGCCCTATGCAATCGCTCGAGTTTCGTAATTAAGTAGTTGTGCAGTTTGACTAATTTTTGAGCGGTAAATTGCATACCCAGCTCTACCCTTAGTGAAAGCCCAGCAGATTAATTGAACGTTTACAAGTAAAAGTGAACTCTCAGTCCATAATGGCCTTTTTTTTTAAACTTTTGTGATGCATCCCATGGCCAGGTGGTTAGGGCACTCGGCCCGCAATCTGCAGGTTGGAATTCCCGTCCCACCAAACATGCTCGCCCTTTCAGCCGTGGGGGCGTTATAATGGGACAGTCAATCTCAGTATTCGTTGGTAAAAAGAGTTGGCGGTGAGTGGTGATGACTAGCTGCCTACTAAATTAGGGACGGCTAGCGCAGATAGCCCTTGTGTAGCTTTGCGCGAAATTCCAAAACAAACAAAATGTAATGCATCTTAAATATCTTCAAATTTATGCGGATTATTTTAAAGAGACTACATTCTTCCATCTTTTTTATTTTGAAAACACGCACAAATTTGCTAGAAGTGAGCAAAACCTCTGCAAGGATTTTCAGTAGCGTTCATTCTTCAAAAAACATTATTGTAAGACAGGGGAAATGGATCGGAAGTGTAGAAGTCGAGTCGAGAAACTTGGCAGAAATGGCAAAGCAGTTGCGTCACTTCTTGTTCAAAGCAGCCCATTTCACAGTAGAGATGTAGTCAAAATTTCTACTGTCTGAATTTGGTACATTTATTGCATTAAATCTAATAATAATCTTGCATTTTGCTTCTATGGGAAACTATATTCTACATCGAGAAGTAAGAAATATCGTAAAGAATATTTTAAACATGAAATGCTTTCTCTAACAGTTTGCCCCTGAATAACCTACGTGTTTTTCTAACATCATGAAAATACTTCTCTAATTCAGGCATAAGTGCTTACTCTAACCGTAATATAGACTGGAAATTAACATGGTGTGAGTCAGTAAAGAGTGGGAAACTGAAACAGCAACAATATCTTTATACTTCGCATTGTAGCTGTATATTTTGGTAAAGAAAATAAAATGCTGAAAACTGTTTTTACAAAAGTAACAATAGCTCTGCAGTAACGATATAGAGATTATTCTATAAAATGTTTTTATTTTTCACTATATCGAAAAGTTTGATATGAATTTGGTTTGCTTTTGGATTACTAAGTTAGCATGCCAAGTTTGGTCAGAATCGATCAACTCGTTTAAGAGGAGACGCGTCCACAGACAGACAGAAACTTTACTTCATATTGGATAATTACCGCACCGGCATGAATTAATATGTATAGCGTATATGTGAAGAATGCCTAGGAACGCAAGGCAAAACTGGTTAATATACGTTAATCATGGTAGGCTTTTAGTTAATATTATAAAAATATACCACAAAAATTCTTGTCCCTAAGTTAATAATCCGAAATTAGCAAAATAGTATTTGTAAAGGAGCTGCAAGCCTTTAAAAAAAAATGCCCAGTGCTCATTATACCCTACTTGAACTACTAAAGTAAACACTACACTGAAAAGTAAATGTGTTGAATAGTTAGGAATATCTTTGCTGGGGGAAAACATTTTGAACTTTTACGAAACAACTAGCATCTTTCAGGGACGTAAAAACAATAATATGTCACCCATCTGTTGTATCAAATAAAGACCAATATTTTAGATGGTACGTGGTTTATGATGTATACAATAGGTGGTATTCATACGACAGATATATATATATATATGTGTACAACATAAAAACATGCCTGTAAAGCCTGATTTTTTAAGTAATAATTAAAACTTATGTTAAAACAAATAAAGAAATACAATTACTATATATAATATTTAAATTTGAACAGTGCCAGTAATCGAGGATTGAGTAAGCTTAAATAAATTAAGTTTAATATAATGAAGAACTGTGTAACTGGATTGTGTTTTAAAAAATCGAAGACTGGGTGGACAACTAGGGAAACGCAAAGGCCCAAGAATTGAGTTGAAAACAGGGACAATGCAAAGACTCGATGATTGAATAAATAGTTGGACATTTAAGAAAAGACACGATCAATGAGCAAATTGTACATCTCTAGAAGCGAGGAATAAGATAATATTTTTTTTCTTTTAAAGATGAGTCGATGAAATATATCAATCATAATGTCTATATTATCGTTATAGAGGTTGTTACTAAAACCTTTGATTAGTCAGTGTAGAGGATTTGGAATATCTGTTACATAATTTAGTCCATTAATAGTTTCGTTTTGAGTTTACTTATTGATTAAATATACATTTTTTACAAGTTACAGCTTTTACAGTAAGTAAGATTTATTTTTATAACATAGACACCGTTTCGATCACTGGTGCGATCATTCACAAGCAGTAATTTGTGAAAAAATTTAGTCTATTGTTGACCTGGTAGACTCGATACATCAATTGTCTGATAAGACATCTGTTTTGATTCACATGGAAACTATCCATGTGATGTGAGAGAGTTCTTGTGTAATTTATTTAACAGTACACTCTCTGTTGTTAGCCTTTTTACTTGTAGTAGTCAAAGGAAGGTCGGTTCTCAAAGAAAGCTCCACGAGAAACATAAACTGTTAATAATGGGTGAGCTTTTGTTTTATGCTGTAATTTTAATTGAGAAATAGTATAAAAGAGCTATAAACGTAAAGAACAAATAAATAATTAAATGTTTCGTTTTTAAAAATAACAACTAGGGGTTCTGCCGAATCACGGCTAATATGAATGGTTAAATCTATGAAATATGGCATCAAAGTTACTACTTATCCGCATATGAGAACTTGTTCTAATTTCATATTTTGTAAAATCACCTGGTGAAACGTGCACGCTTCCTCTCTATATTTATTCCAGTTTTACTTAATATACATGAACTGTTTCAAAAACCTAATGATTTTTTTGTTAATGAAATGTGAAATAAATTTAGATGCACTAAATTTATGGAAATTAATTAATTGTAACAGCCTTTGTAAAATTTTATATCATGACCAGGAATAACTAGGATGCTATTAGGATTACAGTAAACATTTGAAAAATATATTTTTACCACAACTTTGAAGATGGTTTGTTGCGATCTGCTTCTTACTATAGCAGCTGCGCGGTTTTTTAAACTGGATTATTATTTATTGCTCTGTGGACACATTATATAGTAATTGGTCGATCGGTATAATTTTATTTCATTTAGGTTATTTCTGTATTCTTCTCGCCTTTCTGAGTCTCCTAGTGTCTCAATCTATGGCCAGCGCTCTCTGTCCAAATAAGGAGGATCTCGCTCCGTGTACTTGTGATGGTGAAGGTATTAACTGTATGTACGTTGTTGATGATGCTGATCTTCAGCAAGTGTTTAAAGCCTCTTTCGAGCCTAACAGCTTTCGTGCTCTTTTTATTCAAGGAACACCAGTAACAATAATTCCGAAAGGATTATTCAGTAGAATCCGAGTTCAGGACTTTATGTTAGATGTCAATAAAATCAGCATTGTGGAATCTGGTGCTTTCGAAGGATCAGAAAATACTGCTAGAATCATTAGTTTCTATGACAACCAGCTGAAAGATTTTCCTTTTGGTGATATACAAAAATTTCCTGGACTGTTAACATTCAATTTAGGGCTGAACAAACTGGCGTCAGTTCCAGATTCAGCCTTTGGTCCTCATCCCAACTTGAGAACCATTATTCTAGCTGAGAACGAGATTACAAGTATTGGCCGGGGTGCGTTCAGTGGACTGCCAAAATTATCTAATGTAGAACTTGGTAGTAATAAGATTAGTACTCTCGGACCACAGTCTTTGGCTATGACAGGACATTCTGTTGGCTTGGCGGTAAGAATATTTCAAAGCAGTTACTGTTTCGTAATTTATAAAGTGTATGAGATTTCTAATTTATAAAATTCACTATTTATCCAAAGGTAAATGATATAGTTGGGGTGAGGTATATATTATTATACAGTACCATGAAAATTAAAATTATAAGGGAAAGTTAACGAGAAAATGAAGGGGTTATGTTAAAACACATTTAAAAAGTAGTTTGAACAGTTTTGTTAAGAACATACAACATAGTTTTAGGTAAATATTCCAGTGATTCAAGGTTTACTAGAAAGAAAGAAGGAGTATCGAGTGATTTAAAAGAACGATGCTGTCCTTTATTCGTGAATCCAAAAAATTATGTATGAGGATATATTATTTTTTCTAGATTGTTCTCTCGAACAACAAGATTGCCGATATCGCCCCAGATGCACTCAGAGGAACCACTCCTGCATATTTGGCATTAAACGAAAACAATTTAGAGTTTCTAGACAAAGACGTTTTTCTTCCGCTAATGAAAGATATGACAAAAGTTCAGAACGCACAAATCAGGTTTAAGGGTAAGAATGTTAAATGTGTATACCTAGAGCTACACTGTAAGGTTTGATTTTATCATTATGGATATTATGTGAATCTTATTATAATACTTTTGTTGTCCTAGAGCTACACTGTAAGGTTTGATTTTATCATTATGGATATTATGTGAATCTTATTATAATACTTTTGTTGTCCTAGAGCTACACTGTAAGGTTTGATTCTATCATTATGGATATTATGTGAATCTTATTATAATACTTTTGTTGTTATATAACTTTAGGGTTTCTTTGTATGTTTAAATTTTTGTTGTTGAGACATTGCTCTTTTCCGTACTATTAGCACTATTTATAAGATACATTAAAATCAGAATTTTGATATATATATATATTGCATAATGGTTTGAATATTTTATCTTTAGAACAAATGAATCTGCAAAATTTTTTACTCATTGGACGTCGACGGAAGTCTGAAGTCGTAAATAGTCATTAAAATATTTATTGTAGTTTTCATAATCGATAGAAAATGAAGATGAAATCTAGCATAACTGTGATATCGTAAGGAGATGATAGAGGAAAAGAATGCAAATATAAATGACTAATATCTCTAATTGAATACGTTATTTGAAACAGCATTAATGGGGCTTTTATTTATCAATGCATTTTGTAATAGAACCAGGGGCATAGTACACATAAACCAACGATTTTCAATGTATGTTGAATAACACATACGACGAAGCCACCCCCCCCCACCTCCCCCTATACCTTCTTCTCTTCTGGAGGGACCGCCGGTAGTGGCCTAGTGTTTCGCGCGTGCTGTTGACTAGCTACCTTCTCCCTAGTCAATCAAAATCATAACACCAACGTTTCATGTGCACAATACATTTATTTGTATAAGGTTAAAAGAAAAACATGATCTACATGTCATGTTGTCCACTGAAACATGTAGAGCGTGTTTTTTTCTTTTAACCTTATACAAATGAATTGATTGTTTAACTGAAAGGTTGGTGTAGTGATTTTTATTTGTATTGAAAGTGTGCACAAGCGCTGTCAGTCTAATGTATTCTCTCTAGTCTATCAGTTTAAAATTTGGGACAGCCAGCGCATATGGCCTTTGTGTAGCTTTGCTGGAAATTCTGAATCAAACAAATTATTTTTGGACATTTAACGTCCAGTTTTATCTAATAATCCTTAATATCTAGTACTCAAGACTGCCCCTTAGTTATGATTAAAAACCAGAGCCCGAGCTACTCTTTAATACAAACTACTTGGACTCTACTGTTCTTCAAAACAGAAGAAAGTAAGCGGGTCCTCATTTCATAGATACTATGCAATATTTTGATGATATATATTTATGTTATGAAATTTGTATGAAGAAAATCATTTTAAGAAATTAATCCTGGTTAATTGAAAAGCTACATTTGTATAAAAAAAAAAGTTGGTGTATTTTATGTCTCTTGTGTGTGTGGAATTGGTTTTAAGTTTGATATTGCTAGCAGTGTAATGGAGTGCCATTAGATGACGCCACATTACTAGCCGAAAAAGACAATGGTTTTCGAGCTTTTTAAAGCCGTTTTTGGAATCAGTAGTGCATAAAATCTGTTCGTGGGGAAACGTATTTAGAAAGAGTTCAATATTAAGATAAAAAAATCACAGGTAAGTTTACTATTTAAACAATACCCACAAGGTAAAGAAAAGATTAAAATAGGGAAAATAATCAACCGTATCAATTACAATATAATAAACAATGCAGCCTGATATAAAACTCTTGCATATACTAGACACAATTCTAACCCCAAAATGCCACAAAGATCAGAAGCATGAAGTAAAGAACAGGTAAGTTTAATAGCTAAACGATACCCATAAAGTAAATTAAAGGTGAAAAACAACAACAATTACAAATGTGTTTTTTATATATATGTATATATATATATATATATATATATATATATATTGAAATCTTTCTAAACATGCTTCACTTTCAGAACAAAATAAATGAACTGTGATTAAGCTATAACCATACCTAATGTTTTGAAATATTGTAAAAAAAGCATCGTCCACAGTAAAATGGAAAATTGATCTATCAACTTTGAACTCAGTCTTTTATAACTCTTGACGATCGACTGTTTGTATGATTCATTGAACACAAGTGTTTATAAATAAGCATGACGTCATATTGTAGTTATTGAAATACATAATATAAATAATACTAATCACCATAAATTTTTGATGGAAAAACCAGATAAATAAACACATTTTCGTTCTACAGGAAACCCCTTCAGCTGTATTGGCTGTAACAAGTATCAGTGGTTGGTGGAGAACAAAGAGACCGTGATGAAACTCCTAACAGATTTTCTGTGTGTAGATGGAAGAACTTTAGTTGATCTTGAAACAACTGATGTTGGCTGTCCAGCGTTTCTCTAAACTTTTACGCTGTTTGGTTAATTTTCCATGAAATGTTTTTATTTGTTTCTTTCTTTAATTAAAAGTTCTTCATTTAACACGATTTGTGAAGTTGTTTTACTTATATCTTGTTCTTTCAATTAACTCAAGTTCCACATAATCTCTTCGTCAAAAGATATCACGTAAATAATTATTATGGTATGTGTATAAGAAATACGTTATTTATAAATAACGTTAAACTATTCCAACCCTTATTTTTGGTTTATTATATTTCAACCATAAAATATAATATCTCTATGCTTGGTAGTTCGCTGATCAATTTTTTTTTACAAAAAAACATAATCCATAAACAATATAGTTAATAATAAATTCTGTAATACAAACTAAACTATGAAAATTTACATATACAAACATGTCTTTATTTATAAGGTCTTATGACGTTAAAAATCAGATTTCGAAACCCGTGGTGAGCAGAGCACAGATAGCCCATTGTGTGTAGCTTTGTGCTTAATAACAGATTATATTACTTTCTTCTTACCTTACTATACCATGCTTTTGTGATCTCCATAACCTTCATTTTGGAATTGATTAATAATGAAAATTACAAAACCATACATACACTGAGTGGTCACAAGTAAATAGAAACCTAATTTTTCGTCATTTAACT